CCGCCACTGTCCCCAGCAACTACTACCAGACGAGTGTGCCCACTCCGCCGATGGAACAGTGTGACGGCTCGGTGCAATACTCACAAAACACGGCAACTCCATTTCCCAGCAAGTCATCTGCTGATGGCTCTCCCTGCGCCGTCACCAAATCGCCGACCACCACCAACTACAACAACAGCAGTCCAGTGGACGCCTACTACTCGCCACCTCAGGCGGGCACAGTTGACCACCACTCGAGTCTGTGCATGTCTCCGAGCAGCACTAGTTCGGTCAAACTGGAGAGTGCCCCCAGTCCGCTGGCAGCCAGTGAAGCAGCCGCCTACTACCACCACCACCATCACCAGTCAGGTGCCGGCTACTGTGCTGAACAAGCCGGAGCTGCTGGTGCCTACTGGTCCAGTGATGGTCCAGTCTACCCAACGGCCAACAATGCCTATCACCATCACCGACACCAAAATACGTCCCCACCGCCAGAAACACCATATCATCAACAACAACAGCAACAACAACAGCATTCACCGTACTACTCAGCAGTCCACCCACAACAACAGAGCAGCACTTCCCCGCAGCAGTATTCCCGTCAAGGAGGCAGCAGTCCCGTGGTCACTGGTTCCTCCAGTTCCGGTTATATCGCCAGCTACTATGGACCGGAGGTGAATGGCGTCACTGTGACGGCCACGACGACCACCATAAGCATCAATGCACTGTGCAGCAAAAGCAGCCAGCAACAGCAGCAGCAGCAGCCACAGTGCAACAATGCGACGGCACTTCACCAGCACGCAGACACTGCTGCCCAGCAGCAGCACTACTCAGCGTACAATGGTCATCACTACTACGGAAACAACTCCATGACCAGCCAACACGCCTCTCCGTACACTCTCAACTCGACCATGGCCGTCACACCACCCACTTCACCGCCGCAAAATCAAGCAGCATTGCTTCTTTCTCAGCCAAATGGCAACTGTGCTCAGATGATGATGCAAGTGCAATCAGTTGGCGCAAACGGAGCACAGGCAATTACAGCGGCCATTCCTCAGCACCCAATGTACCCGGGTAATCAGATCATGGCCAATGGGGGTGTTGTTGCTGCCACCACCATCACCACCGTTCCAACCAAAGCGCCACGCGCCCGACGAGGCTCTAAAAAGGCCGCTAAACCGGTGATGCTCAATGAAAACGGCGAGCCGATCATTCCGCCTAAATCTCGCCGTGGTCGAAAGGCCAGTGGCAAAAAGAAGATCACCCAACACGTCTGCAACTACGATGGCTGTACCAAGACGTACTCCAAGTCGTCTCACCTGAAGGCCCACCTGCGGACGCACACTGGCGAGAAGCCCTACCAGTGCAGTTGGAAGGGCTGCGGGTGGAAGTTTGCCCGTTCGGATGAGCTGACGCGACACTTTCGAAAGCACACCGGAGATCGACCTTTTCAGTGTCAGCTGTGCGAGCGGGCATTCTCCCGTTCTGACCACCTGTCACTGCACATGAAGCGACATACTATTCTCGGTCGATGAACACCAAATCATTAAAATTCTCTAATCGTCTTTCCTTGCTCACCACCAGCATCCACTTTATGCAGATCAATCAGTCATCGAGCAACTTTCCTTTAAATTCTCCCTCTGAACAACTCAACTCAACAACACAACCAAACTGGACAAATTCTACAACGCCCGTCTAATAGTTCAGTCGTTTGACTCATGTAAATATTATTATTATTATCAAGTACTACTCTTTTTTCCTGTTGCACCAAACATATTGGTTACTCATTACTCATCATTACCTTGATCTAACAAACACACACACTCAATTCTCACTTTAATCTAGACACTTCTGTATTATAAAACTGCTTTTTCTTTATCTATTTATTGACTGTACCTTTCAAGTACACTCTGTTTTTGTCCAACTGTACATAATGTTTCATTTTCATTTTTATTTTTGCGCATTTTTTCTCAACTATTTGTGCATACTCATTCCAACTTTTTTCTTTTGCTAGCCAATTGACACACTGATGTTTTTGCTTACATAATCACAAATAAAAATACCTTCTTCACAACAGTAGAGATGCTCCCTCTGTAACGTCCAGTGGACTCAATAATAAAAAGTCATTATAAAAAATCAATGTGAGAAAGTGGAAAGCACCAAATATTACTTCGATGATACATAAATCGCCGCAGTCAGTTAGTTCTGAGGAAGGCAGCAGTTTCCCAAGATAGACGATAAAAGCCAATAGATTGGAAACGGAAGCAAGTGTGCTTTCCTTTCTGCTGTTGCTGCAGTCCATCTGTGCAAACACGCACACAGGCACTCAGAGCTCTGGTGATAGCATCTCTCGCAGGTGAGCCAGAAGGAGAGGGGTGCCTGGATGGTGAGCAGTGAGGTAGCAGCAGCCAGTGGACTCCATCGATGCTCATAAATTCACTTCAATCGGAATGGCAAATCAACACGAGAGAGTCAGCGTCTGTTTGCAGTGAGAGGAAAGACAGTGCTGCTGTTGCTGCTGCAACAGTGAGGCACTTCAAGGTGTCCGCTCGCTTGCTTTGCTTTGTTGCTCTCTGCGCCCAGTGAGCATCTGCAGACCATGCAGCACTCCATTGAGTGACTTTTCATTCACAGATTCAATCGATATCGTGTAGCTCCGAAGTCCTCTGCAACACTTACCTTGCCATCTTCTGGTCACGCCGATTAGACTCACTCACTCATGCTGAAGACTGAAGACGAACACGATAAACGTCACCCGCTTGGCAATTTACGAGCTCTCGCTCACTACGAGCGCATCATCAACAGCAACAGCTGAAGCATCACCTTCAATGGAGAGGGTAAAAGTAAATTAGCCACCAAAGTAAAACAGAAGCTCTGCACACACACACACTGTCCAGGGTGAAGGGCGCACTAAATTCAATTAAGAAGTGTCCATTGATGTGCCATTCGCATTTTAAAGTATTATAAAAACAGAAGACCAGTGGTGAAAGCACGATCTACCTGAAATGGACTAAAGCACTCACAATGCTGAACACTCTGGTCTAATGTCAATCAACGACTGGCCTGTGGCCTTTCTTAGCATAATCTGTCTTTACTGCAGTCTCGCTAAAAGACACGACCATTTTTATTATTATTATAGCCAAATGTGCTGTATTAAAACAGCACCAACTCGGTGGATTAGTGGTGGCAAAAGGGCACTGAAGCTGGCTGGTAGTGCTTCGGCAGGAGATGCGCTTGTGACCAGCTTTACGAGTGTGCTGGCCAGATCGAGAGTCATAAAGAGTGCCTTCCTGTGTGTGTGCTGATTGGTCGATGAGTTGCAAATTGCCAGTGAGGTGATGCTGTAAAGTAGGGGGAAATAACTTTAAAACAACCGGAGCAGAAAAAAAGGTCATTTCATGTTCAGTTTTATTTACCCCACACAGGTGAGTGTCCGTGAGTTGCCTCTAGTTGATGATTACTAGTAGTGAAAAAAAGAAAATTGAATAGTGTTAAAACACACACACTTCAACGATTGGCTAATCGATTAACAATCAATAAATCAGCTGCANGAAAATTGAATAGTGTTAAAACATACACACTTCAACGATTGGCTAATCGATTAACAATCAATAAATCAGCTGCACCGGTGGTCTTGGTCTGGACTGAGTACACCGACCAATTAGTCAACTTGATTGAAAGGAATAACCACGATTTTGTCAAACTATGTGGCTCGTACCTTGTGTGCCCACACAAACTTTGGGGGAGAAATAAATCTGAGCACAAGAAATGAGCATGGTTAGTTTAATTGCTGGAGAGCTCAAAACCTAGGTCTGAAGGTAGGTAGTCGTCAAATCCAATAAATCCTGTAAATAGTTTAGAGATGAGACACATTTAAAATGATGTGAGAAGCATCACTGCCACCACCANAGGAATAACCACGATTTTGTCAAACTATGTGGCTCGTACCTTGTGTGCCCACACAAACTTTGAGGGAGAAATAAATCTGAGCACAAGAATTGAGCATGGTTAGTTTAATTGCTGGAAAGCTCAAAACCTAGGTCTGGAGGTAGGTAGTCGTCAAATCCAATAAATCCTGTAAATAGTTCAGAGATGAGACACATTTTAAATGATGTGAGAAGCATCACTGCCACCACCAACACATTCGTCGCCAGGCTGCAGACTTAATAATTCTTTAAGCAAAAACCACATTGAGGCACATTGCGAAAGTGACAAGTGAGAGAGAGGTGCCAAAGAGGCCATCAATCAGCGCCAAATGTGTGCACTTCTCACTTCTGCAAGCCCACGATGTGTGATGCTGTAGGCCCCTTGCAAGAATGTCTGCATCAACTTGGACGTAGTAGTTTAGATGTCGCCCACTGATAGCTGTCGGGCCTAGGCAGAAGGAGAGTGAGTGAGAGAGTGAGAAAGGACCAGGCAGTTAGTTGCAGGCGATCATAAATTGCTGTCAATGGTTTTCCCTCTCCCC